TTGGATCTACTAGTCCAAAGAATGGTAGGAATATTATTATGTTTCATCATAGTTAATACATTACAATAGCAAGTGTGTTGAATAAATAATTATTTTATTAATGATATAATATTTGAAAGTCTTTTATGAGTATTATTATAATTAGATGATACATTAAGTAATGACAAGATGCAAAGTTCAATGCAAGCTTTCAACATCTGTAAATATTTTTTTACGAATAATAATATTCAATTCAATACTTTTTTTCAAGTTTGTCATTCAGATGATAGATATTATATTTATGTTGCTTCAAACTATAAGTGCATTATGATAATAGAAGTTTTCAATCTAGAGTTTTGATAAATTATGCATATAAATACTGTCAATAAAGTTCATTTGATTGTCTTGAAATTTTGAAAAAGATGGTTTTATTGTTCTTGAGAATATAGCATTAAAAAATTGATTAATAGTAATGATCGGCGTAATAATAAATCATCCAATCAATTTCATTATGCGTCAGCCAATCACAGAGAAAGCCCGCTATGCTTATAAAATCCATATTTCAAGAACAAAGGAAATTATGATGATAAATCTATTTATGAATAGTAGATGTAACTTTTTTAGGTTTTATGATTTATGACATTAGAAGAATTAAAAGGAAAAAATAAATCAATATTGTAACAATGAGATTATTTTTCTTCTAAGGATTTCTGTTTTTTGTTGGATAATAGCACATCTTCATTTGCTTTCTTTTTCCAACATTTATTATTTTTCTTTCTTGGTAAATTTCATAAGTAATCCTTTCTTTTCTTCAATTGTCTGAGTATCATTTATTTTGAAAATATAAGGAGCAATTTTTTCACCTTGTTCTTTCTTCAAAATACTTCTGATGATACTAGGTTCCATAGTAGATCTGATGTAAATTAATTTCATATTAACTATTTTTATCTAGATGAATATCATGATCATGTTACATTAGTGATAGTGATGACTAAATTTTGATCCCTGAAATTCTTGATAATACCAATGTTCACTTTGTCTGATTTTGTTGCAGCATGCCCCATATAATAGATCATTCATTCAGACGAATGTATAATAAGTGCAGATCGCCTATTACAAGTCAAAAAATTTGCCAATCATTGACTTTATTCAGTTATTATTATATGTAATATTATTATTATGGATATTTATTATTATTATTATTATTTCGTTCGTGTTCGATTATTCGAATATTCAAAAATTCGGTGCTACATACCAAATTAGGAAGGGCCATTATGTTTAATATTAAAAGTTACGCGAAATTTAAAATGTTTTTATTAAAAATTCTATTTAGAAAAATAAATTAATTACGTTTAAACAAACTTATAGCATATATAGTAAAGATTTATATCGGCGATTGATATTTACTTTGAATTTTATAATGTAGTTTTATATTAAACTCATACAAAGAATTTCGTGCACATATATAAAAAGGGAATGTTACTAATTACCGTTACATCATTTCTTAATTCTTTTTGATGCTTTTTTTTAAAATCTGAGCTGAACTTTTCGTTAAAATTTTGTTTTATTCACTGATTGGTCAGATTAATAATCATATGACAGGACCCGATGTCTTGTTATAATGGATTTTCGTTATAACGAACAAAAAGTCTTGTCCTTGTTTTTTAATAAGTAAAAACTTTTGTTATTTATAATAAACATTGCTATTTCGTATGATGAGATGAACATTTAATATTAATATTAATATTAATATTAATATTATCAAGAGATTTCCAAATTTGGAAATTGATTCTGGAAAAACTCGACCCCTCGTCTATCAATTCATACGGGTTTACGTAACAAGAAGTTAGCTTTTTTCCTAATTCTAGTGAATGAAACATCAAAACCAACTTCCAGTACTTTACCATGTTTATTTGCTTCACTTGCTCAAGAACATCCTGAGAGTGATTTGAAGTCACGAGAAACTAAAAGTGATCGATCTTGGAGACATGCGTCAAGATCCATAGCAAAGGAACATTTTTGATGTATTTTTTATATATATTAATAAATTAATATATTCTTTTGCTAAGTGTTTCTGAATATTTTTATAGTTTCAATCATATTAGAACTATTTATTTATTTTTACTATATAAGATTTGGATAAGTTTATTTATACAGTTCACTCTATAACGAACTTTATTGCTTTTATTCATTATAGAGAGTGTTTAATAAGATGTTCGTTATTATTAAATAGAGAGAAATTAATCATAAAAAATAAATCAAAAGTGAAGTTCATTATAGAGAGAATGAACTGTGGTCATATTACACGCAATAGATGAGTAAATTTATTTATAAATTGTTAATGATGTTATTCATTAATTTTATAATTTCAATGACAAGATTCCTGATGAATGAGTGACAGGTTAATAAAACCAAACAGCATAATGGCCCATTTGGCTTACAAAAAATGTCTGTTATAGAGAGAACCTGTTATAGACAGTAATGATTTATATATGGGACATATAAGCTTGGCTTAATTCCTCTGTCTGTTATATAGACAGATCTATTATAGAAAGATCTATTATTATTATAGAGAAGTTAACTGTGTATTTAGTCATTATGAAAAGCTATAAAGTTTTATGGTAACTTGATGATTATGAAGCTATTAATTATTTTTTATTGAGCTTGTAATGCAGTTAAAAATACACGTATCACATAATTTTGGTAGTTGTATGACCATTTAATAAATCTCTCGCCAAGTTTTCTTCATAGAAAGGTAAGCATTATTTTTTCAATAAAAAGATTTGCATAAAATTTAGCCAATTATTTTTTTCCTAAATCGTTGTATTGGAAATTCCTTATTTGGAATGACTGTGCTGGTCGCTTTATACCGAATTATTGTAGATCAAAAAAATTTGAACATAAATAAATGATAAATAAATAATAAAATCAATTGAGAATATTTTAAATGGCAATAAAATAAAATAAATAAACTCATGATAAAATCATTCAAGGAATGAAATTCACTATTGAAATGATTGTAGTTTTGAAACATAAAACAATTTTTCTAATTCCAATATTATCTGAAAAAACGTGCCCATAATGCTGCTGCACAAAAATTTATTTAATGAAACAACAAGAGCATAACAAAAAGTAAAAGTTCTAACGAATGGCTTGATAATGATCCAAATTCATATCAAGCAATATAAAAAAAAATCAAATGAATACATCAAAGAAAAAATTAATCTAAAAATCTAAAATAACTTCTTATTTTACTGTATTATATTAATGTTATCTATCTATATAGTATATTATTTATTATAATTTGTTATAATAAAATATCACGTGATGATTGACTCATTGTTAATTCAACTGTATTTCTTTTTTCTTTATACAGATGAATTGCTATTCCAGTAGCAACCCATAATAATTCTATGGTTCTAGAAGTTGCTCTGTAATCTACAACTTCATCCAGTTTATCTAAAAATTTGGAACCAAGTTTAGCTGCAAGATTAATAATTCCATATCCTAAATCATTTCCTCGCTGCCCAAGCATAGGAATCACCTCTGGGTGGTCTTTGTTATAACGTACAAGTTTTCGAAAAATTGCTTCATCAGCAACTAAGTCAAGGCGTTTATTGTACCCATATCCTCTTAAAGAGGTCGCATGTAGCAAAAACATTTCTACCACAATTAGCCGGAGGACCTGCTTTAAGTATTACAACATTAGGTGTGGTCTTGACAATTGTAGAGTTTTCTAAAGAATAGTTGGTAATTTCATCATGTATATGATGTACATCCAATTTTTATCATCATTCCATTCTCCAATAAATTCAGAAGGTCCAAACAAATTATCAAGTGTTCTTGACCACATTGGTGATTCTTTCATGATATCATTCAAAGATTCTTGCAAGTCAAGTTGGATAACTATTCGGGCTATTGCATATTAAAAGCACCTGATATAAAGAACTTAATAATTTGAGTTTGTGGCATAATGTTGCTAAAATTTGGGTAATCCAAACCTTTCTTTTTTTAAAATGCAGTTGTTATGACTACAGATGAAAGAAATGCTGTTGTTTTTATTCTTTGATTATTGTTAGGATCAGAGATTGGATTTCTACGTTGAAGTTGCTTTTTAATATTTATTGTTTCAACCATTCAACCATTTCACCAAAAAACTTGTCAAGCAAGATGTCTTATATCTATTGTATGTTGGATATTCCCAGGGATATTCGCCCCTTCTTTGAAACTTTTGAAAGCGTTTTTCATTATTTAAATTTTTTAAAAATATTTTGTTATCAAAAAAAAAAATTTTTTTTTTTTTTTAAAAGATGAACAAAAATATTATATTTAGATTTTGATAGTCATTCAAATACCAGTAATTAACTATATTTGCTAATAAATTTGTTGTGACTCTTACCAGGACCCATTAAAGGTTACATGCAAAGCTATTGGTAAAATTTAATTTTCTTTGCATATATCATATATCAAAATTTTACTAAAAAGTAGCATATTTAGTTTTGTTTTTTAACAAATTGTGGATTAAATAAACCATAATAACCAACAATACTTTATTTATTTTTTTTTTTTTCAAGGAAAACTTTTGAGACGAAGCTTTCTTATAATCATCCCAAACTGGTTTATAATCTATACCTCGGCATTCTTTCAAAAATTTAAATGACGTTACATATTGGTTGTGCTTTCTGTAACAGCAGTTGGTTCTTTAAGTGAAACCAGATAGCTTAGATTTGATTGTATCTTCTAATTGAACTGGCAGCAATTTGTGGACACTTGATTTTAGCTGAATTAACTAAAACAAAACTAAATATAATGAATAGTTTATATATTATAGGGCGAAAGGAAAATTGAATCAATGAATTATATAAAGCATAATTATATTTTTTATGCACGAATAACAAACAAATGCACTCCAATTTACAAAAAATCACAAAATAACGCTTTCGCGCGGACTAAAAATTTATTGAATAATATCAATCGATGTTATAAATGTCCTATCACTTCTAATAGTCTATTTTCTTTTTTTAACTTTGAGGAAAAAATAAAAATCTATTTGGTGTGACTGGTATTTTCTTTATAATATTTTTGGTACTATCAGAGATTATTGCTTCGGCCATTTTTTTAGGACTAAGATTACCAGAAGCACTGATTTTTAAAGCAACAACACCGGCAGTTAATGGAGATGAGAAGCTTGTACCGGAATCTAGAGAAGGCCGGCCAAAGGAAAGTACAGGAACCTCGACACCAGGAGCAAAAATGTCAACGCAAGGTCCAAAATTTGAGAAGTCAGCCATTGAATCATCACCCTTGTCAGTTGCACCTACTGTAATTGCAGTTGGTGCACTTGCAGGCGAGGTAAAACAAGCATTTTGACTCTCATTTCCAGCAGCTACGACAACATGTATACCTGCCTTTGTAAGATCATTAACTGCTTTGTTTACTGCTGAAGAAAATCCACCACCTAATGAAATATTAATAACTGTGTTTTTGTTTTTGTTTGCTAAATGCTCCTTTAATACAAACATCATACCCGAAATAACACCCTCAAAAGTTCCTGAACCTTCTGAATCAAGTACTTTGATAGCTATAAGTTTAACTTTTTTAGCTACACCAAAATGGATGCCACCAATAACACTTGCAACTTCGGTACCATGACCTTCGTCATCAAATCGAGGACATCCATCACAAAATACACCAGCAAATCTAACACGATTGCCAAATTCTGATTTGGTTTTATTTATACCAGTATCAATCACATAGACGTTTACACCGCTACCAGCTGAACTGGGGTACTGATATTTTCCATTTAAAGGACGCTTTCTTTGATCTATACGATCCAAGTCATAAAACGAAGTCTTTTCAACGGTACTAGCTCTTTTTTGTATAGCGGCAAAAGCTTTAACTTTTGTTACCTTTTCAACTATTTTAATGTTAGGTAATGTTTTGATTTGTTCTTTAAGTACTTGAGGATTAAAGGAACCAAAATAACCAACAAGGGAACCAACTGAAAAATGTAATAATTTATTCGACGAAAAACTCTTGGTTGCAATTCCATCACTTTCTTCCAAAGCTGGCGCAGAATCTATATCCCAGCAGTCTTTATAAAAATTTAAATGTTGTTTAAGAATTTCTGAGTCACTAGAGGCGGCGGATGTTGATCCTTTTTTAGGTTCAAGGAAAATCATAAATCTTTCTTTGTTTTCATTGAGATCTTTACTGGAAGCACCTTTAATACACTCGATTTTAGCCGAATCGACTAAAACAGCAGAAAATAGCGACGAAACTAAATATAATATAGTAGCAATGGAATAAACTTTAGAAACAATCATTTTGTTTTGCGGATTTATTTTTTCTTTGTAATAAACTGAATGAACGAATTTAATTAATTAATCGAATAATTGTTTTGTAATTATGTATTTTGTGAAAGAATGAAATGGATAACAAATTCCCGAGGCGAGGGGATTGTGCAGTGAAAGGAAAATTAGGTATTGTCGAGTATTAATGAAATGAATTGATTTATGTGAAGAAAGGAGGTGATGAGGTTCATTAGAAAAAAAAAAGTACATTTATATAACATGTACGCATATGCTTAATTACAATGAGAATTAATTTGTACGCGCAAACAAACATTGTTTGTTTGTTATCGTTATAATAAAATGCATGAGGCCCGATTCTTGTGAAATAATTGGCGACGAAAAGAATTAAATTAAATTAAATTAAATTAATGGTGGGATTGATGAATGGATAGGTCGATTTATGAGATCAAGAGGAAAGAAACGGACAGGAAGAAAGAAATTTATTAAAATAAGAAGAAATATGTTTATATATAAAAAAAAAGACACATGTTATAATGATAGATGTACGTACATTAACAAAATACTTTACCAATTAAGGAATATTTTTACCTTATGATTGAATTTTTTTTTTTTAATTTGATGCTTTGAATAATTTAGCAATTCACCAATTAACACATTGACATAAGGATACAATAATAACAATAGTTATTTTATTTCCTCTCAACGCATTTTTATACAATTTATTATTCTTTACCTAATTAATTAAAGATCAACATTTGTTTTGTTATGTAACATTGAACCAATTAAACCAGTCCAATTCATTAAAATTGCAGCAACAACACAACAATGTGAAGTTAATAAAAATGAATTTATCTTTATTTAATCAAGATATTTAGATGTTTCGCATTAATGTGTAAAAGTAGTTTTAAGTTTGAAGTTAGGAAATTAATTTGTGTATCAAAATATTCAATTGGGATTTTCCATAGTAGCTTTTTCGTTGACCAATTATTTACGTTTATTTAACAACTATGGCTTAACTTTTGGGTTATTCATGTCGGTTAACTGAAGCAGTCCGTAAGAATTCGGTGTTTGTCGATTAATTGATTTATGAATTTACTATGGTTCTCGCTTACTGTTTCTTTTTGTACCTGGAAGCTTTGGCAAATATGCGAGCACACTCAATGGTACAGGATAACTAAATAAAGATGGCCCTTTTACAAAGATCAAGGTCTCTACAAAGTTTTTTTTTATTTACTCGCGAACGATTTATTTCAGTGGTTAATTTTTTATTAGGCCGATTTTCAATCTCGCCTTGGTTTATTACAAAACAATTTGTTTAACAGCTTTATGTTTTTTGGTTACGAATACAATAACACTACCATTTGCTTACTCACTAAGTAAATAACGTTTACTTAACACTCATTAGTTATCCGGAGTTAGTCCTAACCTTTGCTTACGAAACAAATAAAGTGTGGCCTTTTACCAAAGCTCCACAATCGTTGCCTTTTTACCAAAGCATTTCTTTAAACAAAAATAAAATAAAGGTTTATATTTAAGGGTTTATTTTAAGATTTCCAATGTTTCGATTTTAATTTAAATCGATCATTTACTCTTCTCTGCCTTTTTTAAACGAGGACTTGGACAAATTTGTCTATTCAATTATCAATATTTCCAAGTCTCTCATTTCAAAAATTAATTTTAAAATTAAATTAGTTATTCGCGTTTTGTCTCCTTACAATATTGATTCCTTTACTGGCGCAAGTGAATATTTAATCATCACATCTTCAGGGCACAACCCCCTTATAAAAAATATCTATACTGAAACACAAGCCTTCAGATTCACCAATTTATGAAATCAAATTCCTGTTGCTATTTTCAGAACAGAATTTAATGAACATCAAAGGAAAAGAAAAAGTACAGCGATTAAAAGAAAGCATGTTGTTGTTGACGATTTGACAAGAGATAATTATTTGGACCGTTTCAAAAATGCATGTGCCACATTCAAGAATCCCCAAGATAATGATGAGAATGAAAAACATCCCGTATGGATTATTATCACATAAACAATTAGAGATATGTCAGTTGTCTATATAACCTTCCTAAATCTCCTGCTGGACTTTCTTCTGCCATTAATGAATATTTGAGACAATATGTCACCTCTATAAAAAATATGTGGAGTGGACCTAATTATAAAAAATCCCTGGACAATCTCTTGCGAATTCCCTTCCTCCTCTCCCTTGTCTTGATGAAATAAAATCTCATATTCTTTTAAAATCACAGCTTCTTATATCAATGAGATTTCATACACTCGAAAATTAATAAAGTGTTGAGAGAATTCTCTTAAAAAATTGGAGAATAAGAAAACACTGGGAGCTATACATACTCTTGCATAAAAGGAACATACCCTTAAAACAGCCCAAACCATGGCAGAAATTTGATGCAACTCATAAAATCCATCAAGAACCCAAGTCCCAGTTGAAGAATTGACATAATAAAACAAAAAGATCATGAACAAAAATTTGATGCCGCAGAAAAAAATTATGTGAAAGAGCATTCCAGAAAAGAAACTCGAAATAAACCATTATAATCATCACAATCCCAACTTCAAACATCATCCATCATCTTCACATTTACCATCATGACACTCACAGCCTCAATAATCTTCCCCTTCACTGTCTCAAAACTTGATGGATTTTGTACCAAATGTAATAACCACCACATCCCTTGTCCCCCAGTCCTCATATTCTCATCCAGTTGAATGTCCAAAATCACATTCATTACCCCGCCAGTTATGTTAATTGGTACAGCTGGTACAGGAGTTAATTCTCATATAAAAAAAAGGATATGCTTGTAGATGTGATGGTAAGATGAGGGAACAGCATAAAAAATATTGCGTTGTTGGAATGACTAATGAATACCAACCTTCACAAACTTATGTATGGTGTTTCTGACAGACTAGGCCTGCACAATCCTACAGAATTATCAAATGGCAAGATCGCTAGTGTCAAGGTAAATGTGCTGTTGAGTGTATCAACCCAACATGTATTTCATTCAAATGTAAAGCCTCGGGATCTTCTTCATTCAGCAGCTGCCATTGCTATTGTTAGCGAACCAAAATTGCTCTTAACTTCTTATTTGCTCTACCACCCTTCTCAAGAACCTATACACCCACACAAACCATTAACACCAGTCAATATATACTAGACAGAACACTCTCAATATCCAATGGAGTCTCTCCTAGTCAGAGAGATTAAAGAAATAGTTAGTAATTCATTTGCCACTTGTTAATCCTATAACTACCAAAACTTAAACGTGAAACAAGCTTATTTGAATTTTTGACAATTGAATTAGGAATTGAAATTTTTTTGGTTATATAAAAACATCTTTTAATAACAACTCTATTCATTTTTGATTAACAAATTTGAATTTTTTATAAACATTGAGAACTGATTATCAAAAAACCTCCTCACGTAACACGAATATAGCAAAAGATATGGATTAAAGATAGCAGCGGTCTCTTTTCATTAACTTTTATTTTTTCTTTTGAAGTGATGATGTGAAGAGTAATCGTTTTTCGTAGAAATCAATAATCTAAATATTTTTGATTCACATTAATAATATAAATAAACAAGCCATTATCATTTCTAAACGATTAAAACTACCTTTTGAGGACATTTGGCATTTACTTCTTTAGTTGAATGCTTTGAAACTTTTCCATTTTTCCTAAATGATTTTTGATGATTTTAGGAGAAAAAAAAAATATATATATACACATACGTATCTACCAACCACATAAATTCACCACATACAAACATATAAATAATACCATCTAAGAAATACAGACAATTCTTCTGTTTCATCGTCACGAATGATAGATTCAACTGATGAAACTTTATTCTCCCAATCGTCGTCATCTACCATCACAATATCAATACCAATATCTTTATCTAATGTGACTTTAATTTTGTTTGGTTTTTGGTGTCTTGACTCTTTTACGACTGTGGCTCCCTCTATATTTTTTTTTGTTTTAACATCTTTTGAACTAGCATCCATCATAGTTGATGCACTATTAGAACTGGACAGACCAGAACTATGATTCTTATTATGTTTATTTCTACTTCTAGTAATTCTACCACTCATATCATTGCTTTTGTTGCTACTTTTTGAACTTTGGAGCTTTGTCCAATATTGTTGTACAAGTTCATCTGCGTACCTTTATTACGAATCAATCAATTTAAATTATTAGATTACACTAGAAATAACAATTTTAAATTGAATATTTACAAATCTTCTTCATAGATCCAAGAAGACTGATCTTTTGAATATCCTATAATGAATAATCACAAATTGATCAATATACACTTTGCCCTATTTTTATTATCAACAGATTATATAAAATAATATGCAAATACCTTTCCATTTAACGAGATAATATAATTTCGACTAAATTTTATAGATTTTATACAACATAATTAACATGACTTTCTCTGATGAGAGAAATTATAAATTTCATCATAAAATGCACGTACTTTTTTAACTTCATGGTCGAAAATGCTCTCGATTTCATATTCACTCATCTCGATGCAAATAAAATGTTACTAATCTAATTTTGTATTGAATTTTTTAACTAAAGAAAAACCAAAATACAGAATTTTAAAAAACTGTAATGATCGACGATCTAAAAATAATCAAAGGCCAATAGCTGCTTTACGAGCCAACCAAAAAATAATCAATAGTTATCATAATTTTTTAATAATATAGTGTTATTCATTCGTGATATTTATTAATTTAAAAAAAATATAAAAACAAATTAACAAATAAAATAATAATAAAACAGAATGACAAAATTTTTTCTTGTTTAAATATATATAATGATACCTGTTGCAATTAAAAACCGTTTTTATATGACGTAATTATGGTTGCGACCACCATCAAAAAAGTTGCAGCCAGCACCTTTAAATATGTAAATAAATTCTGTGCTTCATTCCTCAAACCTATACAGTAAAAATAAATAGCAAGTTCAAACATTATTA